CTCTCTCTCTCTCTCTCTCTCTCTCTCTCTCTCTCTCTCTCTCTCTCTCTCTCTCTCTCTCTCTCTTTCTCTTCCTCCATTCCTTCAAAAACTCTTTTACCCTTAACCCTTCCGTCACTCCTTCCCCTCCATGGCATGTGACTAACCCCTACCCTCACTTGTTACATTGCCAGGGAACGAACGGAAAGGAACTTGGTCCTCACTTGGTGGAAAGCGAGGGCAAGGGAAGGGCTGCCGGTCCCCTGTGCCACCAAGAAGGAAAGGATACGAGACTATTGAAAACATTTGTGAAATCGAAAAGGAGTGTTGTTTTTGGACGAGGTCAATTTGACTCAACCATCTTCCCGGACTGCATGACTAAGGGATTGCATGGCTTGCTTGTGGGAAAGGGAAGGGAACTCATAAGGGGAGTTGGAAGGCAAAGGGGGCTTAGGTTTGCGGGAAGGGGCGATGTGTTGACCCCAATGGGGATTGTACTTTGTCATTTGTCCTGTGTGGTCTTGCGCAGGTGAGTAGCTTGGGACGATTTGGACGGGGCTGGATCCACGGTTGAGGACTAGGGTGGGAGAATTGGCTAAGGGAAGGACTTGGACCTCGCATAAGCTGTGAATGCGAGATGGGCTGTATGGTCGGATGGTCGGATGCTTGGACGAATGGTAGACCCTGAATGTGGTTGCGTGATGGTTGAATGAATGACTCTCTCGTGAATGCAATGCAAGCCTGGAAGGACTAAGGGCTGCCTTGGATAGGTGGATGTGATGCTAGTGGCTCTCGCAAAAAAATATAGCGGCTAGGGGTTCGGGCGACGCCGCCTCGCCCCAAGGATGCTGTCGGGGCTGTCCTGAGCCACTAGATTTAGTGAAAAGGTCCGTGGCCCAATGGATGACGTTTGGCCTGCGTACGGTAAGAAGACAAACTCTCAATGAACTCCCTGGACTGCCTGAGTATTGGAAAGAGCAATTGCCTGGTCAGACTTAACTGAATCAAGAAAACGCCGCGAGTGACCAAAGAGCTACGATCTTGACGCGAGAGCGGAGCTATATCCCCCAATGTAAAGCCCGCTCGCAAAAGGTCCACCCCCATCCATCTCATAGCACTAGGTGGGGGTGCCCTTGGGACGAATGACCCGCGCTCTGAGCGTGAGCGTGGGCGGGTCGAGCCAAGTGGGACCCGCAGTGGGGTCGACTAAGGCTCGAAAGTCCACCAGGGTACGACTCCTACAAAAATGGTGGAGGTGCCGGGTAATGGGTTAAACTGACCCATACGGTCTCGAGGGGGGCGCCCGACGCATGACCAAGAACATAAACATGAAGATAAGGAATATGGACTTGTGTATGCTCTACCCCTTGAGAGAATCAGATTTGTGGGTGGTTGGGCGCATGGCAAGGCCAGACCTGAAGGAAGAACATGCATGCTTGCACTTTTGCTCAACCATCTCCTTTGGAGATGACTCTAGTCCTCCTTCCCTTGGACTGATGTTCGTCAGGCCGGGGAAGCCTTGGGCAAGCCACATGTTGACCCTTCCTTTTCGTATGAAAGAAGGGCTCCAGTTACCTGGCAGGCAGTTTGGATTCCGGGCTAGTCTGGGTTCCAATGAAAATCCCGCGGCGGAGCGATCCGACCGACCTGGGTGCCTTCTCTCCTCTCCGGAGCCCAGCGGGCTCCGTGCACCTCACTCAAATGCTTGAAGAAACCTCATATGAACACGAACGGTAATCGAGAAGGAACAATCCTGCCCTATGAACGGACACACAAGCGAAGATAAGGGAATGAAGGGAGTTGCTAGACTCCGAGAAAAACTAGTTCCCCTTTGAAGATGCTCACGAGAAGGTACCAGACACTATGTATGGAATTTAGGGGTGAGTGACACACACTGTCCTGAGTGAAAACCTGTGAGCAATGGGTAGGAAGCGCTGGGTGCACCAGGGAAAAAGCACTTGTTCTATGTGTGTCCCACTTGGGACTTGTGATTGCATGACTGAGATTTTGAGCGTCCTGCCATTTGGAAGGAAAGGAGGGTCTGCACCGGCCACTGTGGGTTGCCAAACATCATTCTCTTTGCAGACTGCCGTTTATTCGTATGCGGGGGTCAAGCCACCGAGCTGTCTAACGGGAGTTTGTCACGTCGAGTGTTTATTAGCATTCTCGTCCGTGCGGTGATGGGCTTCGGCTCGATTGATCTGTCGGGCGGGGTGTGAAACGTTCCTCAGGCGGGGCCTAGCCTGTGAACTGGCGGAGGGAGCACCACTGCATGGGGGCAAAGACGGAGCCTGAGAGGCGATCAGTAGTTTCTCGTAGCCTGGTTTTGAGAAAGGTTGTTCCTTATCGGATCAATGGAAGTGAGTGCCTGGACGGCTGGCTCCAATAGCCCTACCGAGATGTGCGGGGTGATTCCCGAGATTAACGGTGGGTACACGAGCGGCAAGTCGGGATGGGGTATTCTGGGCAAGAAGGTGAGGGCAACCCCCCACTGGAGTCTGGGTACCGCGCTCGTGACGATTGAGCTGTGCTTGAGGTATGGGGTAAAACCCTGCTAATAGTAACAGTGGAGAGACCATTTCCGGGGAAAAGGTCGATGAGGAGATGACCGACCTGTGTGCGACGTTTGCCTGAGTTTTGGTTTTTGTGCCTCCCTCTGTAAGGCTGTCTGATGAGTGTTGGAAGGGGAACTACGTTTCTAGTCTAGTCTCAACCCTTGTCTAAGTCTACACGAGTGAGAGAACATGAGGGAGAGGCTGGATAGGAGTCAGAAGAAAGTGGAACCAAGAAAAAAGAATGCGAGCCACTGGTAATCGATTGGGGGTATGGTAGGGAAATGGCACCTGGGAAATGGATAAGGAAAGTTAGGGAGACCCGGATGAGGGGTCTGAAAACAACTCTCATCTAGAAATGGAAAGAAAACCATCTGACCATGAGGGGCCATGTAGTGCTCTCATGTGGAAGCAGGACAAGCGCTGAGAAACAAGATGGCGCGATGGTTGTCGCCTCCTGTGTACTCTAGTGGTCCGGTGATGCCTATAGAGGTAAGGGGCGGGGTATTTGTTGTTCTCCCGGAAGAAGGGACGTGGACCGACCTAGAACCAGCCTATGAAACCGTGATGCTGAACGAGAAGGACGCGTTCCTCTGGATAGAGACAATCTGGACTAAGGTCAGCCTGACGAGACTCTCACCTAGCTTGATGGACCTAGAATTCCGGGGAACAGTGGAAGCTCGAGGATGGGTCTACCTGTCACAGGAATTGGAAAATGCAATGGTAGTGGGACTAGTATTGGGCACGGCACCGGATCAGTTGTTTAGGCAAGCGAAACGGGAGGTGGTATGGGCAGCATGTCAGCGGGCAGAAATGGAGATGGAAAGGATGGAGGTGCGAGTGGAACTCGGGGACCGGGAAAATATCAGACGTCCTCTTAGGACAATGAGGTGCGTGCTACCCCCATTTCTGGTGGATGCAGTCTTTGGGACCAGGGATAGACTGGAACGTATATGCCAATCAATGACACGCCTGAGGCTATACCAGTGTGCAAGACAAAACTTCTTTAGACTGTCAGTGGAAGCAGGGTCGTTTGAAGGAAACTGGGCGGAAGAATTAGCTGAGGTGTTAAACCTCCTCAGCGCGGATGAAGTTTTTGTTCCTAGCCCGGTGCATTGGCAGATAATTTACCGAAACATGGCAGCGGGGGAAACCTGCTTGGAAGGGGTTAAAGAGATATTCTTAGACGACGAGAAGGATTCCAGTGATGACGAGGACGGGGACGAGATAGAGGACTGAGACTTTTGAAAAGGATGGGGGAGACTTATCTGGGGAACGGGCTGTCGACTATGTGCAGGTAGGAAGCGATGGCCCGGGAACTCGAGCTATGGGACTGCACGTAGGAACCGAAACGAATCGGGAGGGGGGTAGAGATGTCTATACCGCCAAGTAATGAGTGGAAGGGGACTACATGTGACTGGCGGGGGTATGAAATTGTGTCGGAACTGTCATACCTATGGATAGAACGTGTTTGGAACCTGTTGAGGGAAGAGGAAGGATGGGAGGAAATTGCGGAAGGTAGGGTGAAATCGGTTGGAACGATCGTTCTCTCTGAACAAGGTTGACACCTGTTCTGCACGACGCTTGCGGCAGGGCAGAATCCGATGTGGCTTCTAGGGGACGCAGAGGCAAGGGTTCGGCAAGCAGGGGAAAAGTTCACCAACCAGGGTTGGGATACGGTCAGCAGTAGAGTCGTGATGGGAGGGTGGAAGGAATTTAAATCGCCTGGCACCCGAACCAAGACCTGGGTGCCCGAGTTCGTGGCAGACTGGTTTGGGGGCTTTGATCACGTAACAGAGGTAGCCAACACGATGGAACGAATACATGTGGACTGCGCATGGCTGGCAGAGGAATTTTATAGGACGTCCTTGAAATTTGGGCCCTTCCAAGGTGATAGAGCCCGGGAGGTCCTTATCATTTTGGACGTTGAAAGGAATGACCGACAAGAGGTGGCCCTGGAAACTAGGGAGGCCATAATCTGTCGTGAGGTAGTAGCAACACCTTGCTATGTGGATGATGTGTTCAAACTGTTCGAGGTTCTGTGGTTCGACTAAGCGCGGGAAAGCCATGGGGCCAGACAAATATGGGGAAAATTGCTAAGATAAGGGAATGGGATGTCTGGCCATTGTAGGGTTCAGTGCGGATCACGAGCCAGAAGAACAAAGGCGAGTGTGCAATGTCGCGAAGAAGAACGTTCCTTGAGGAACGCCCCTTGGGCATTGAACCGCTTAGGGAAGTACCGGGTGGGGTAGAGGTTAGCTTGCCGGCGGCAAGTGAAGGCTGGCACCAGGTGGCAGATTGGGTCGGGGTCGAGCCTGTGGACAATATGGTTTACTTGGTGACGAAAGTTGAGTGGCGTGCGGATGAGAATGGGGAATGGAACCCGGACCCTCGGGGGCATATGCGTGCAGAGGGACGACTTTATATGTCAGAAATGGGTGGAGGGAGTTCGGAGTTCGGCTGGCATTAGGAGAAGACCCGTTGAGCATGTTTGAAGGGGCATGACAGTTAGTGCGGCGAGCGGGGTTTGAGTTTGCGGACTCAAGGATGGATGATGTAAGAGCAAACCTTAGGGTAGCCATGGTTGGGAGCTTTGAATTGCCAAGTGAAAATGTACGAATGAGGCTGCCGCCCTTCCTGCTGGAAAGGCTGGGCGGTCTGGGGCTTGTTAGACAAGCGGTAGCCGACCTCGCAAGCCTGACATATGAAGATGCGATGGTACATCGAGAATACTATCGGGCCTTCCTAGAAATGGGCCCGTTCAGTGGAGAGCAGAAGTATGAGGTGTTGCGCATCCTGCGTGCTGTGCTTAGCACCAGGCCGAGGGCTCCGGTCGTGGGAAGTGAGGTCATGTGGGGTGTCATCCGACGGGAATTAAGTCAAGGGATGGTGTACGTGGATGATCTGTACCGATTGTATGAGCCAATGGACGTAGGGACGGATCAATAAAAGAGGTCAAGGAAAGAAAAGGAAGGTTCAAGCTAGAGACCGGGGAGTGTTCGGGCGGGAGCTGAAAATTAAATGAAATAAGTAAAACCGCTTGGTGTTTAAACTGTGCAGGGGACTACTAAGTCAAAAATGGCGACGAGACGCGTCCGGATGTTGCGACAGTCGACATACCCGCAGCCACCCACGGAAAGTGGAGGCGGATGGGAGGTATCGCTCCCATCAAGCTACATGATCCAAGGATTGGACATCGAATGGAGGGTCGTGACCCTGGAAAGAGGTCAGGCGTTCATGATGGTGGAATGTTTGTGGGATGGTATGAGGATTAACAGGGGACCGGGAGACGATCTGTACACCGATCTTAGGGTAACGGGGACCGTATACCTGCCGGAATTTGGATAGTACATGCTAGGAACGGAATTGGCACTAGGTCACGGGTTGCTACCAATCTTCCAGAGGGCTACTAGGATGTTGAACAAGGTGGGCCAAGAAGTACGGGGGAGAAGAAACGTGGGATTAAGAACTCGGGTGGAGGTCGGAGGTTGGCGAGAGTTTAAGGCCCCAATGACCGGGTTGAGGTGTCGAGTACCTCGTTTCACGGTGGACTTGGTATTCGGTAGCCTCAAGAGAGTTAGGGACCTGTTGGATTCGACCCTGGTCTGGATCCACCTCTTTAGGCCACAAACAACGAGCATGTTCTACGATGTGTCGGTCAGACATGGGCTGTTCTGGGGGAATCAGGCCTGGGAACTACTCGAATTACTCGAGATCTTGATATTCGGATTGCCCCACCTGTCGTTCGAAGAATATGAGCCAATAATTATCAGGGAAATAGAGATGGGGGAAAATTACCTTGCTGGGTTGGCTGACCTGTTCGAGGAACCGGATAAGCAGGGCAGACCTGAGGGACCAGCATGAGAAAATGCGTCAGGGGAAGCTAGGGAAATAAAGGATGGGTACTAAGAAAGTAGGCAGCCATCAGTGAATAGAGGGGACAGTGGTTGGAGTTCCGACCGACCTGACAATGCAGCATTGAGGGGAACCAGGAAAACCACCCGCGTCGGGAACACTGGGCGTTTAGATGTCAGAAAGCTAAAAGAGCCATCCCCGACAAGGAAGCCATTGGGCTCAGACATCGCCCTAAGAGCCAAAGCGCGGCAGTAATAAAATGCCAAACAGCGGTGGCGAGTCACCGGGAAGAAGACCTGGAGGGCATCCTGGGAAGTAAAAGATTAGGAGAAGCCGTACCGATTAATGAAAAGACGCAAAAAGCATGGGAATAAGCGGATTCTAGGGTCGGGACTAGGGCACTTATAAACAACCGGCCATCTTTCATAAAAAAAAATTTCCATGTGCAGGCTAAGTAAAGGGAATAGCGACAGAAGAAGAGTTTGATGATCAGCAGAGCAGGGGAAGCCAGGGTACGAATGGGAGCGAGGAACGAAACGAGGGATCAGTGAAGGATCGAGAGTCAGCCAAACCGGAAGGAATCCGAAAAGATGGAAAAGACAATTCAACGGGAGAAAGTTCCGGGAAAGCTGGGGGTGGCAAAAGGGGACCTCAGGAAAACAGGGAAGGGGGAAACGATGTGAAAACAAGCCCTCGGAACTCAGCAGGAACCACCCCTAAAAAGACGAAAGTCTCGGATACCCGTCGTAAACTGGCTGAGATAGAAAAGCGGACTGCAAAATTTAAGGCAAGGCTTATCGAGCAGATGATGGCCGGGGATGAGGAGGACCCCCAGGGCACAGGGTCACGAGAGGGGCGAAGGACCAGTCAGGACGAGGCCAGGTATGAAGGAAAGGATAATAGCCACAAGGGAACGCCTAGCAAGAAGGGGAAGGACAAAGATGACCCCCCGGCGGAAGGAACGGAAAACGTTATGACCCCACCCGCCATCGACAACGGCACTAGTAGACTGCCCGCCACGCCGAAAGTAAAAGGGGCGTGTGACGGGCTCTGGAGCCTTATGGAAAGAGTGTTAGGATGGTTCGACCCAGAAGGAACGCCGAAAAGCAGGGAGAAGCAGAGGGAAAGCAAGGAAGGGGAAGGGACTAGTGCAGCCGGAGAAGCGGGTGGCTCCGAGAGGGTAGTCGCCACCCTCACCAGGACACTAAACAAGAACCAAGGGTATCTCGCAGATGCAAAGAAGAAACTCACGTTCGATGGGGCCAACATTACGAAGTTTCTAATAGACTATGAGAACCTAGCAGCCTTACTGAAATGGACGGAAGAGGAAAAGATGGAGCACCTAGGGCAGCACATGTCGCTAAGCTTGGGAAGGGACATTATGGCCATCGTCGCCTCCAGTGGATCCTGGAAAGAGACCAGGAATGAGATGATGAGGAAATACCTGAAGGCAGAGAAAATGGCAACAGAGGCCGAATTAGCCGCAATCCAGAAGAAAAACTATGCGACTTACAACGATTTCCTAAGGGCATTCAAGTTAGTGGCTCTGCGAATTCCCAGGGTAACGGACCGCATAGTGAGTAAATACTTCCTCAGGCAGTTCTCCGAGTTTGATAAAGATAAGATTTTGTCGGCATACCAACAGACCAGTAAATTCGAATACACGAGAGATGTGGACTTCAGCACCGTAACAGATCTTGTGGAAAAGGCAGTGGTCACCAAGATGCTAGCCCTGCTTAAGGAAGGAGAGGTCATAGACCTGACCGGGAAGACGGGTGATAAGGTCAAGAAGGGGATGGAGAGCCCGCACGAACGGGTGCACGGGGTTGAGAGCAAGATGGACAGAATGGAAAATGCGTTGTTAGTGATGCAGGCGCAAGTGTCCAGACCCGCCCTCCCGCCCTAAGAGGCCGTGGTTCCGGCAGTTGTAGCAAACCGGGGATTTGGCAGAAGGGACCCGGCCAACGAACAATGCAAGTATTGCACCATGATTGGGCATTTTGTACGGGCCTATCCGAGACTCAGTCACGATATTGAGCGGCAGAGGTGCAGTAGGTCCCTCAAAGGCGAGATCCTCGGACCCCGAGTCACGATATTGAGCGGCAGAGGTGCAGTAGGTCCCTCAAAGGCGAGATCCTCGGACCCCGAGGGGAGCGTGTCAATTGGAACTCGCCAGGAGGGATGCAGCGAGCCGTCATTCTCCTGAACAACTTAGAGATAGCTGTCGTAGAAGCAGAGCCGATAGCCGAGATTGTCTGGGACCAGCCAAGGGGACGGGGACCACAGGCCAATTTTATCCTAGAAGGCAATGACCAGGATAGGGTAAATATCACCACCCGCTGGGCCGGCGCAGAAAAGAAGCTTATTCAAGATACAGTAATGGAAGAATTCGCAGGGACTAGCACGGGCCAGCAAGAGACCGAAGTCGGGGATCAAGAGAAGGTCTATGGGAAAACGAGGGAAGAGGAACCGGTAGATTAAGCCACGGCGACAAAAAAGAAGTTAAGATACCAGATCCCGATTCTGACGCAGCCCGAATTAGATGACACACTGAGCAAACTCCTGGGCACCATGGTGTCGGTATCCTTCCAGACCATGCTGCAGGCAAGCCCGAGACTGCTCAAGGGCCTCAGGCAGCTATTGACACGTAAACGGGTAGAAGTAGAGGAGGCTCTGGAACCACAGGAACAGGGTACCGAGGAGGCCGAGGCGCCACAAGGGGTCTCTAACCTCCAAAGCATTCCAGGGGGCCTGGAAGATCTGGAAAAAGTTTTTGCTGATATTCGTCTGAACCTGCCGGACCGAGAAGGTGGTGAAGTCATGTGAGCATCGCCTGGCACTAAACTTAGCTTTCACGCACTACCCGTAGGAAAGCTTAAAATCCAGATCGGAACTCACCACACCGATGCATTAGTGGATGACGACGTGGAAATTACCCTCACACGACGGGATTTCGCAACAATCACAGGGTGCACAGTAAACAAGGAAGTAGCAGGGAGTATCAGGGGAGCAGGCGGAGAAATCCCCTTCACTGGGTACGTCACCAAATGCGCGGTCAGGGCAGGAGTCCGGGAATCCATCTGGTCTTTCCAACGGATGACCGTCATGGAAGAAATGGACCATGACATAATCCTTAGGAGACCATGGCGTGCCAATGTAGAAATGATTGGCATGCACTTGCATGACGGCACGTACATGGTAGATATAGAGGATCCGGTGACTGGTACCGGGGAACTCCTCAGACTCCTCGGAACTGGAGGGGACCCTCCGAAGGGCAAATTGGCAACCTGGTCGCCAGCATTCGAAGAAAGTGCACGGAAGGGGGCAGCCTTTAGCAAGAAGGAGTGGATCAAGATGGGTCTACCCCTGAAGAAGAGGAGGCAAGAGGACGAGGCCCTGGAAGTTATGGTGGCAGAAAAAGAGTCGGAAGTCGAACTTGGGGCCAGCCTGGCCAAACCAAAGGAAGGCCGGAACGAAACGTCGGAGGTGGTGCTTGAAATCCCAGATTTATTACAACTCGTTAAGGCCATCAGGTACCACAAAGCGGGGGTGGACCTCGCAGCGCTTGCTAGATTTGAGGATGAGGTTCGAAAGGGCTACTGTCTGAATGAGAAGCTAGTCAGCATCCAGCCCCTCGTCTTGGAGGTAGCAAGGCCGATCCCGACCGTTCATTTTTTAGGAGAAAGATCCCCGAAGGTAGTGTGCGAAAGTTTAAACCCGTAGGCAAGAAGGCCAAGCCGGTCTCGATCCTAGTAGAAACGTCAAAGGAAGAGGCCATGGAAAAAGAGGAAGAAATTTTGCGGGTAATAAGGGAGAGACGAGCAACGGAAGGGCATCGCATACCAGATGAGGTAGCAGATACCATGAAAATAGGAGTGGAAGGGTTTCTAACAGCGGAAGAAACTCAATTGATAAGAAAAGAATGTGAGAAGTTTCATTTAGCTTTCGCCTTCAACGATCATCAGAAAGGGCGATTGGACGCAAAGCTAGTTCCCCCTGTCAGGATCCACACCGTACAACACGAATGTTGGAATGATAAAGGGCCCACCTATGAGTTTGGGATAGCAGCAAAGGTCACCGACCTGCTTAGAGCCAAGATAGATTCTTTCATGGCTGAACTCACCACATCCCCCTACGCGAACAAATGATTCGTGTTCAGGAAGCCCAATAAGACGCTCAGGTGGATCCAGGACCTGCAGAAGCTCAATGCGGTAACAATTAGGGACGCAGACTCACTCCCACAGGTCGACTTGTTGGCAGAATCTCATGCGGGGCGGAGCATTTACTCCCTGGTAGACTTGTACTCAGGATATGATCAGTTGCCGCTCAATGCGAAGGATAGACCGTACACCGCAATGCACACCCCCGTAGGACAGCTGCAAATACAAGTGACCCCTATGGGCTTCACAAATGCGGTACTAGAGGCTCAGAGGAGGATGCTCGTCGTCGCAGGGGATATGTTTCCGGAAAAGTGTGAACCTTACATAGATGATAATCCCGTGAAAGGCGCAAGATACAAGGATGAGACGGAGGTACAACCGGGAGTGCGGAAGTTCGTCTGGGACCACTTGCAGGATATTAAGGACTTACCCCAGCGATTCCTAGTCTACAACATTACTGCAAGCGGACCCAAGAGAATCCTAGCCGTCCCAGAAGTAACCATAATGGGATTTCGTTGTGGAGCTTATGGAAGGAGACCCGATCCAGCAAAGATTGATAAGATCTCCCAGTGGCCAACACCCCTGCGCACCACAACGGAAGTACGAGCCTTCCTAGGGGTGGTGGGGTTCTTGAGGATCTTCATGAAAGGATTCGCAAAGATAGCAGAGCCTATCCACGCAATGATTAGGGAAGGTGGCACTATGGATTGGACCGAGGATAGGGAAGCGGCGGCCCAAACTCTGAAAGACATCCTGTCGTCCGACCAGGTCACTCTAGTAGCGCCCTGTTTCAATGACGAGGTAGGACGACCCTTCATCCTAGAGACAGACGGGGGACCGCTGGCAGTTGGAGGAGTATTGATACATAGAAGTGAGGAGGACAAAGAAAGACCAATCAGATTTGAAAGTAGAACCCTGAATTCGGCAGAACGGTGGTACTCGCAGTTCAAGAAGGAGGTCTTAGCAATCCTACATTGCCTTAAGACCTTCCAGGCATACCTGTTCGGGAGGCGATTTATCCTAAGGATCGATCCCACCAACGTTGCCGGGGCCCTAAAGAACTACAAGCCTATAGATCCGACCGTTGGCAGATGGATAGGCTTCCTATGGCAATTCGATTACAAGGTCGAGCAGATTGCGGGGCTTCGAAACAGGGCAGATGGGCTGAGCAGGGTATGTATCACGCTAGAAGGAATAGAGGACGCGGAACCAATTGACGCTTTCCTTGAGTATGAAGGAGGGACCCTTGTGGTGGATAATGAGATGGCAGATCCAGCAATTACAACAGGTCAGTTGCTGATTCAGACCTTGGAAAAAGGCGCGCCTCCAGTAGTTGCAGAACTCGGGGAAGGACCAGCCACCACGGTCAGGCGTAAAGAGGAGAAGGACTCGTGGGGAGCAGAAGAAGGGGTCAGGGAAGAGATGATGGCGATGGCCGTGGAAGGGGGACGGGACGCCGTAATGACGTTGGCCGAAACCTGGGCGCAGAAGGAGTGTCAGTACCTAGTCAGCCTCACTCGGGAGGAGCAGGGTACGAATCAGAACGAACATGAATTCTTCCTCATACAGATGTATGAGGGCGTCTTCAAAGAAATCGGTCTGCTGCTTGTAACAACGGGATGTATTCCAGCAGAACTCTAGTTTGGAAGGGAGATTGATTTTCCGGTAGAAGATTTGGTCCCTACCCGGAATAGGCTAGATGACAACCCACACTTGACCACGGAAGAGTTAATCACCGCACGTTGCCAGCAGGTCGCCAGAAATGAGGAGGCACTGGAAGAAGTGGTCAATCGTGAGATGGATAGTCGAATGAGGGATAAAGCAAGATGGGATCGGGTTAAGAACATTCGGAAGGAGCTGCTCCAGGTGGGGGAAAATGTGCTAGTTAGGAACTCGATGTTTGAAAGCACATGGTCCCGGCAGCTGGGAAAAAGATTTAAAGCGCCTTACAGGATTGCTAAGTGAGTGGGACTGAACACATTCGAACTTGAGGATCTTGATGGTACTAGTATAAGAGGACCATTTCCGGGACAGAGACTGGTCAGATTTTTTAGCAGGGATCCGGTGGAACAATGGCTAAAAGAAGCCAGGACAGGGAAATTGAGGAATTGACAGCCTGAAAGGCAGGCAGCTTGCTATAAGTTATAGACCGCCTATCTGTGGAAGTGATCATAACCACAGGGATTGTTCGTTTGTGTGTCTTGACTTTTGTGGAACATGGGGAGACTGCCTGGGCCGACTGTGACTGGTCTTGGGAGCACGGGACAGTGTATTATAGTTTTTGTGGGGTAACGCTGGGGACTGTCTACATGAGGTATTTATGTGCTGGGACAATGTACCATAGTTTTTGTGGGGCGATGTTGTGGATTGCCTACATGGGACACCTATGTGTTGGGACAATGTGTCGAGGGTTCTAAGGGATAATGGGACTACCAACTATATGGGGGCAAGCAAGAATTATAGGGAAGCCTCCAAAGCTGCAAATGGGAGTGGAAGGGAATGCGTGTGTATGAGGGGTACCGTGACTGTTATGTATGAACAGGGCCAGACGAGAAGAAGGAGGACAACAAGAAAAAAAAAAAAAAATGGAGTTTGACAATGCAAATGACAGCAATGCAATTAACAGGCCGGAAGAGGGACAGTCGTCAAGGCAAGCTGGAGAGTCAAGCTCCAGGAAAAGGAAGTTGTATGTGGGGTTCGATCACAACCTAGTTGTGAACAGGGGGGGCACAAAGCAAGGAACAAGGGGGTCATCGCCACTAAGGGAAGAGGAGCCAATAGAACTGCCATCGGACAATGACCCTAGTAGCAAGGAAGAGGGAAACCCGGAAAAAAGGCAAAGGCTGGAGGAGGGGAATCCAGAAGAGGGACAACGGTCGGGAGAGGACGAGCCCATTGAGTTCATTGACCTCACCAGCGACGAGGAGGAAGATGAGATAACAACGCCCACAAGGGAAGAACGGGGAAGAGAGGACGAACCGGGTGAGGTAAAGGACAAATGGATAGAAGAGTTCGGACCAACCTTCAGGGATTGGTTTGACCAATGGGGCACTATCTTGCGATTTCAGTGGATAACGAAAGCAAGGGCAAAACTGGGCAGGGGAGAGGATCTATCCCGAGCAACTTTTTTCACAGAGCAGACACTCCTTCAGTTGCAAGAAATAAAGAGGCAAATGCAGCAGGAAATGGAGGACCATGCAAGGAGGGAGGCTCGACGCAGGCCACCTGGACAATAGAGAAATAGCAAGCGCAATGGGAAACAGCTAGAAATTGGGAGGGGTTGGTGTCTGAGCAGTCGCAACCGCCATTTTGGATTTCGCTTTTGAACTCTCTTTTGAATGAACTTCCTAAGCTCGAAGTGACTAAGGACCGGATAGTCAGTGCTACTTTGTACGAGTGGTTGCTTCTTCAGGGAAAAAACATGAGTTTTTTTTGCAATTAGAATAAAACTGTAAATGGTTGGGATGTCTAAGGGGAAGGAAAAGGGGAAAACAGAGGGACTTAGAGATGAGACGAGTCTGTAATGTGGCCTTTGCATTCGAACTCTGTCTCCTTGTTTTCTTTTTAAAAAGGACTCGGATGAAACTACTTTGCGGATCAAGGAAACTAGTAGAGGGTGGGTGACCAGGGTTACTTTGTACAAGTACTCGCTCCGTTTGGAAAATACGAGTTTTTTGGTAGAAAGAAAGGGATTACGGGTTGATTGACTTTGTCTCGAGGAAATGGGCATGGGCATGTGAACTCTTGAACGTTGGAAGAAACATTCAGGGCAAAAGTCTTTCCTTTGAGTTGTGTATCCATGATTGAATGAGTCGTTGCATGAGTCCTTGTGAGAGGTTAGGGGACCTATGGGTAAAGAGATATCCTCTTCCCTAGGCGCCTAACCCAACCTATCTCAGACAAGTCCACAACATTGGGAGGATATGAGAAGTCAGGAAAGTGGCAGGGAAATATCGAAACGGTCCAACAGCCCTTGTAATGGTTGAACGGCCGGGTGGGCTAGTGTTGCTTGGGGATACGAGCTCCAATCCGAGCACTAGAATATAAGAATCGCAAATGGCATAAGGGAAAAGGGAGAAGCATGCGTAAAAACCCAAGACGATGGCCGCCTTCCAACCCCCGAGACGAGATAGGATCCGTGTCCTCGAGGTCCACCCCCTCGGGCGCTAACATTGCAATGGACAGGGATGACCCTAACCAGGCTCTCCAATTGGAATGGATAAGGGCGACCCTAACCAGGCTGTCCAATTGAAATAGATAAGGATGGTCCTAACCAGGCTGTCCGATTGCAATGAATAAGGATGGTCCTAACCAGGCTGTTCGACTTGAAAATGGAAAGAACGACCCTAACCAGGTTGTTCGGAATGGTCCCTGACAAGGGTCATTCTTTGGAATTGGCACTGAGGTCCCTCTGCATGGCTGCTTGTGATGCATGGAATTAGAAGACCGGAGCTTAGGAAAAGAGATTGGAAGAGCTGAGCCTTGGAAAAAAGATTGGAATAACTCAACCTTGGAAAGGATATTGGACTCGGCCTTGGAAGAGACATTGGATTGAGCATTGGAATTGGATTGAGCCTTGGAATTGGGTTGAGCATTGGAACGAGATTGAGTACGGGAATGAGACGGAGCATTCAAATTGGATTGAGAATTGGAAATTGCATTGCATAAACAGGGGACCCTAGGCAACTTGAAATGGATTTGGAAATGGCATTGAAATGGATTTCTTTTTTTCTTCTAGTCTTTGGCCTCAGCAAGAGGGGGATACCAGTGCATGCACCGTGACCCCAAAGACCTCTATCTCATTGAGGGAAAAAGTCTCAGCGCGACCTGTTCCTCTTGTAAGAGGATGAGGGTTAAAGGACTAAGGCACCTACCACTTGGATCGGTGCGGGACGTCCGGAACCACCTCCGACAATAAGCTCTAGTCGGGGAGTTCCAACTGCGCCTCCTGTTGAATGCCTAAACGTCAAAGGGCGAGAGAGCCAAATGGGCACGAAAGTCATTCTCATCTAGTCTATTTTGCTACTCTCCAACCACACGCCATGTCATAGAGGGGTGGCATGGCCGTTTGGGTCGGACTACGGCTGCCCGCGCTAAGTTGGGCGGTACTGTCCAAGGGGAGAGGCTTGGCGGAGTACCGGGTGGAGTCCGCGGCCACCACGGGGCACTGACACTGCCCTGCCGGAGCATTACAACCGCTTCGGGACTAATTGCGAGGTCTTCGTAACTGCACTCGCGGACTGATCGAGAGCCCTAACTCTCTTGAAAGAAAGAGGCCGAAATCCAGAAAATCACCACTCGGGAGGAACGATTCGCGAGGAACGTTCTTACGGCTAGACGAGGCCCTGGCAGGCTTGGATTGGACCCGCTTGGCAGACGTGGGGAGGAACCTTGGTATTGGTGCTCGCCACGTAAGAGAAGAAAGGTCGGACTGGGTAGAAGGATGAGGCGTTGTCCGTTGGGGAGAAACTGATCAATCTTCCTTTTGTGAAGCGGACGGGCTTGTGTCCTTGCGGTTGGTGGGCCAAAGCCCTGCGTACCTCCGAGTGAGAACCAGTCGTGCGATGAGGACATCGCGTTTTGAGTGGGGGGAAGGTGTGCCATCTACCAATAAATACACATGAAAATAAGACTTGTAATTGATTTTGCATGGGTTTGGAAAAAAGAGGCCTGTCAAGATGGTCGGAACAGAAAAAGATTGTAATTGATTTTGTATAGGCCTGAGAAAAGGGGGCCTGGCAAAACGCCAACGCAGAAAGGACTTGAGCATGTGACATGGTATGAACTGGAACTGACAGACCGAGAGTTGGCTGTGTAATCGACTCGTATAAGCTTGAAAAAATGAGAAGTGGCTAAGGGGTGAACCAAACATTGCACATGAAGAGTCAATTAAGTAAAGGGCAAGAAAGGGCAGAGGATGATATGCACGTGGAATTGGCAGGACCTGAGAAAGGCCGGGAGGAATGACCCGGGAAAAATGCATGTGGATCTGACTATGTCTGAGCTTCGGAGACAGGAAAAATTGTACTGAAAATATGTGGATGTCCTAAGAGTAATGAATGAGACGAAACCAAAATAATTTCTGCTCGATAATGTTTTCTCAATGAAATGGGAAGATAAATTTGAGATTACGAATGCAGCCTTCAAGACATTGTCGAGAGCGAGAAATAACGTACAATGAATTACTAGTTGCAGGGTATGTCTGTGATCAGACCCTTCCAAGGGGCGATGCTAGTCAACTGGATGAGGGAAAGAAACATCAAACTGCTTAAGCTCCTTGACGTGTTGCTAGCTCGCACCTGGAGGAAGCCATGGCGAATGATCCTTGTGACATTTGTCGCCAAAATCTCCCTTTTACCTCGGTTCCTTGGGGGGGTGATGGGCGCGTCGTCCTCTCTCTTGTGGAACGATACGGGAAGTTGTGGGGAAACTCTTGGGTATTTGGGAGTTCCATTGAGAAAGAGATACAACTGTGAGACGGACATTGATGCACAAAGAGTGTTACGCGCTCGTTACAAAGACATTATTGAGCTCGGGGACATTACGCAATCCAAAGGAAACCCGAAACAAAACCTTAAAGAAGGAAACTTAAAGAAGGACCCGAGGAAAGACTGGGAAAGACAAAAATAACCCTGGCAAGCTAACTACCCATCCCACCCCACTCCTCTCCCCTGTCTGTCTATCACTCCAAAATTCCTACTGACCATGGATTGGTGCGTGATGAGAACATCGCGAATGAGTGGGGGGAATATGTCGGGACTAGTGAGTCCCGAATGATTTTCCGTTACTCAAGAGACTGTATATAACCAATTTGTGCACGGCAGAGAAAACCGGA